ATATTAATTATATTTATTATAGTCAAGTCATCACTTTTATAAAAGAGAGAAGACCCAGTCTACATTTGGTTCCTCCAAAGTCACCAGTGGTGAATGGTTTGTGGTTTCAAACACTGGCAGTTGTGCTGTATTCTGTTTCTTTCTGATACTTCTGGATTGGGGTGTTGTATAGACACAGGTTTATAGAAGACTCTATGTGATTCTTTATTCAAAAAACTCCCCAGAGTTCCAGAAAGCTCTTTGATAACCATTTTTCTATCTACAGGCTAGATTTAAAGCACCTCAGGCTAAACAACTTATCAATGACTGTATTTTCACATTAAGTAATTTGAGACAGAACCAATGGGCAATATCCACATTACTGAGTAGGGTGTTTCTGAACTTTGTACCATGACTGCACTGTGAGGCTACACATTTGTCAGATGTAAACATGAAAAGCTTGTTCTGTAAGATTCGCTATGTGTTGTAAGAAAGTTTTGTTGTTGTTGTTTTTTATTACTCAGCTTACCTCCTCTGCTCAAGCTGCCCCAAAGTTTGTAGGACAAAACACTGTCTGTCTGCTTGGTAAGATTATTCAAAATATATCTGAGTTCCAGGAAACTTAATACTGGGGATTTAGTAAAGTGTACACTAGGAAATAGTAGAACATATGCACATTCTTTGCTGTCAAGATTGATGTCAGGATAAATACAATCTAGCATTGTTCCTTTGCCTCACAACTAAGGAGTCAAAATAAATTTCAACTCCAAGGGGATGTGTTACTTACATCTCAGATTTGAGATTACTAGACCAATTATGATGGCTAAATACAAGTAAATTATCAATACACTATGAAAAATAGAATGCATGCTGTGACTAGTGGTATAAGCACCACAAACCGCATTTGATAACTTCTTATAAGATTTGTAGTTTGAAGTAGGAAAGCAGCAGTTGTATACTATCTCTGGGAATGTTTTGCCCTTTACTGTCAATTTTCTAAGAGACATTTAAATTCATTCTTCAGGTCTCAAGAATATAAACTTTAAGTACAAACTGCTGAATAAGCATGTTTAGTCTTACTTGTCTGCATATGATTTCATGGATGGCCACTTGGTACTGAAGAACCAATTAGGTGATCCATCCATGGAGAAGATTATTATTAGCTTATAAATATATGTCACAATAATAAAGAAAAGGAAATCGTGAATTTGAGAGAGAAAAAATAATGATGACATGAGAAAGGTTGGAGGGAGTAAAGGGAAATGATGTAATTATATTTTAGATAAAAATTTAAAAGTTTGAAAAAGTACAATTAAAGATAATATATAGAATGACATCTAACTTCTCAAAGGAGACTCAAAGACAGAAAATACTGGAGAGATATTCTACAAACTATAAAACACTAGAGATGCCAGCCCATATTACTATAACCAGCAAAACATTCAATCACAACAGATGGAAAAAACATTCAATGATAAAACCAAATTTTAGAAATATCTATCTAAAAATCCAGCCCTAAAGAAGGTGCTACAGGAAAACTTCAGCCAAAAGAGACTAATCACACCCAAAAGTACAGATGAATTATTCCAGACCAGCAAAACAAGAGAGAAAACACACCACACACCACACACACACACACACACACACACACACACACACACACACACACACACCAACAAAACCAAAATAACAGATGTTATCAAATAACACTACTCTTTGATATCTCTCAACCCTAATGATCTCAAGACAGACTAACAGAACAGACGTGGAAATGGATCAATCCTACTGCTGCATCCAAGAAACACGTCTTAACTTCAAGAATAGACATCATCTCAAGGTGAAAGAATGGAAAAATATATTCTAAGCAAATGGACCCAAGAAGCAAGATGGTGTAGTCATTTTAATATCTGAAAACTAGACTTCAAACCCAAATTAGTCTTAATAGATAGAAAAAGACGCTACATACTCATCAATGGAAAAATCTACAACAGGACACCACAAGTCTTAACATCTACACCCCAAACACAAGGGTACCCAAGTTCATAAAAAAATCACTACTACAGATTAAATCACATATTGACTCTCCCATACATAGACAGTGACTTTAATACACCACTCTTGCCAATAGACAGACTATCCAGACAAAAACTAAACATAGAAATGTTGGAGAATGACATCATAAAACAAAAGGACCTATCAGATATTTACAGAACATTTCACCCAAACACAAAAATATACCTTCTTCTTGGCACCTCATGGAAATGTCTCCAAAACTTTAGACAAAAAGTAAGTCTTAACATATATAAAATAATTGAAATCATCCTGTCTGACTACCATAAATTAAAGCTGGATGTGAACAACAGAAGATTACAAACTCATGGAAACTAAACACTTCCTACTGAATAATCAAGGTCAAAACTGAGAAAGAAATGAAAGTGAATATACAATGTACCCAACCTTATGTAACCCACAAAAAAGGTACTTCTAAATGGCAAATTCACAACACTAAATGCTTTTATAAAAATATTGGAGAGATCTCATACTAGTAAACTTAACAGCATACCAGAAAGCTTTATAACAAAAAGAATAAATCACAACCAAAAGGAGTCAATTGCAAGAAACAATAAAAAAGGCTGAAATCAAAATGGAAGCAAACAAGCAACAATAATAAATCAATACAAAAGTTCAATAAAACAAAAAGTTGGCTCTTTGAGAAAATTGGAAAGATGAACATGTAAACATATAGAAATGTAAACATCAACCGAGCTTCAAACCCTCTGATCTACAGTAGTGTACATGATGATAATGGACTGAACCTCTGTAACTGTGAGTGAGGCCCCTCAATTAGATGTTTTCCTTTATAAGGGTTGCATGGTCATGGAGTCTTTTCATAGCAACAGAAACCATAATTAAGACAGAACTTGCTATCAGGGACTGGGGTATTGTTGTGATATGTCTGACCAGGTTATTGTTTGGAGTAATATAGACTTCGGGAGTTTGGGTTAGGAAAGCAGTGGAATGTGGAAAGTACTGTTTAGTGGGCCATACTACCAGCAGCATGGAAGACAGTGGTGCTGAATACGATTTAATGAACTGTGGGGATCAAGAGGCCTCAGAGAAGAATGTTCATGTGTGACCCAGAGACTGTTGTTGTGATATTTTGGTGAAGAGGCTAGTTTTTTTCCCTTTTTCAAAGAGTCTGCCTGAGGCTAAAGTGAGAAATTTTGGATTGATTCAGTTGGCAGAGGAAATCTCAAAACAGCCTAGTATAGACTCTATTGTGTGGCTACTATTGTACACACACACACACACACACACACACACACACACACACACACACACACACACACACACACACGAGCAAGCTGAACAGAATAAATTACAAAAACTTGTACTCATCTGCACCAGATGGGGTCCCAGACCTGAAAGGAGAAGTGGACGCTTGCCCCCATCCTTAACCCAGAAGCAATCTTCAATGGATAACCACTTACAAATGAAAATTTATTTTTTCCAAGGGGTTCTCACCAGGGAAACAAACTCCTCTGAAGGGGAAGTAGCATGCCCAGCAGTAGATTGCTAACTGCAAACAAATTAATGTCAAGAACATACGTGGTTGCTTGGACTTTTTGAAGTCCCCGAAAGCTTATAGATTTGAATAGCTGGTTCATCAGTAAGTGGCACTATTTAAAAGGATTAGGAGGTACAGTTTTGCTGGAGGAAATGTGTCACTGCGGGGTGGACTTTGAGGTTTCAAAAAGCCCATTCATAGCTGAGAGTCTCTTTTCCTGCTGTCTTTGGATCTAGATATAAAACTCTTAGAGGCTTTTCCAGAACCTTGTCTGCCCTGCATAGTACTATGTTCCTCTAACATGATGAAAATAGATTAAACCTCTGAAACTGTAAACAAGCTCCATTTAAATGTTTTCTTTTTCTAAGAGTTGCTGTGGCCATGATCATGGTGTCTCTTCACAGCAGTAGTTCACTAACACCTTTGGAGATTCTTGATGTCATAAAAGTGTGTCATAGCTATTTTTATTACTTATTTTTTTCATTTTTTAGTTATATATATATATATATATATATATATATATCCTTTTCTTATTTTACACTATGATTTTTTCATATGTGTTATGTCTCCCAGTTTTGTATTTTTATTTGATTCCTGAGTGTGTGACTGGGTCTCTGAGTCTACATCTCTTTCTTGAGCCTTTTCTTGGGCTCTTTTTATTCTATATTTTTTTTGTCCTGTTCCAATTCATTAGTGTGTATATATGTGTGTGTGTGTGTGTGTGTGTGTGTGTGTGTGTGTGTGTATACAAATATATATGTGTTGGTTTTTCAATATATATTTATATGTGTGTATATATATACATATATGTGTATAATATATATGGAGGTTTTTTTTTTTTTTTCAAGAAAAGGCTTCTCTGTTTATCCATAGCTCCTGGAATTTGCTCTGTAGGCCAGGTTGACCTCAAATTCAGAGATACACCTGCCTCTGCCTCCCAAGTGCTGGGAATAAAAGTATGTGTGATCACCACTCAACCTTGTTTTGTTTTTATCATTTAGAAGCCTCTTTTTCCCCCTAGGGAAAGACAGAAAGAGGGTGGATCCAGATAGAAAGGGAGGTATGGAGGTACATAGAGGAATAAAGGGTGTGGGAATAGCAATCAGGATTTACTATATGAGAAAAAAATCTACTTTCAATAAAAAAGGAAAAATTATAAATTCATTTAAAGGCAAAAAATATATAGTTTTATTGGATAAAGGATATATATATATACATATATATATATATCAATGCCAAAGGGTGGAGCAAAAGACCCCCACCCCAGCCAGTTACACTCAAGTGTAGACTCTTACAAACACCTGATACTCAGGCCCGTGGTCCAATCAGCCTCTTATGCAGTTTTTCTGGGTGCAGCCACTAGGAAACCTAGTTGCTACAGCATCCATGTGAGTCATTTCTGAGTAATTCTCTCACTTTGAACTTCAGAATGAGAAAATAAATACAACTTCACCTTACTCCTTTATGCATATAATCTATCCCGCTGCTCTTTTGTTTGATGCTTGCTGCTTCATGCCATAACATACTTCTTGACATCACAGTGGGCATCTTTTATTTGACTAGGGAGCCAGAAGGGGAAAACAAATATTACATTTTTAAGCCACATAAAGTTTTACATTTTCTTAAGAGTGAATTCATATTTAGATCATTTGGGTGAAAATTTTGTGTTGCATATATCTCAAAGTTTAGCACCTTTTAGGTTATAGATTTTAATAAAAATTAAAATTTTATTTTAGCTGTTAACTAATAAAAATAAGACAATAATATCAATGTTGGTATATTTTAAGTAGAATACTCCACTACAAATATCTTTGTTTTATGTATGCACACACACACTTTTATTATTGTTACATACAAATCAAGTAGAAAACTGTCATGCTTCAACTAAAACAAGAGTTGAATATTATTGGAATACATTATTATAAAAATATCTCGTGCATTTTAAAAGACTGAAACTTCTGCTGGACCTCACAAAGTCAATAGCATATCTTGAGAACACTTAAAACTTAAGACTACTGTCCTATTGTGTACTCAGCCAGTTTTGTTTTGTTTTTGTCTTAACCTGCCTTAAGAGAACAATAACCTTACTTGCCTTGGATTTCCCACCACAGTCAACTTTTACAACTACGATAGCACACAGTTGTAATCTTAAATTATGTGCTCTTCCATGCCCCTGACCCATGTGCAATGCATGTGTATTTGTTGAAAACAGAAAACAGAATGGAAGTAGTCTTATAAAATGTGTATCTACCATAAACATTCAATGCAACATGCAGATAGTGCTTGGTAGCAGTGATGTGTTTGTTATCTGGGTCAGTTGAGGTCAGTTGGAGTCAGCGACTTAATCGTTTGTAAAATCCTGTTAAAGAGTTCTATAAAGTATTCCTCATTTCTTCTCTCATGTGATGCTCTCTGTGATGCTCAATAAAAGTGAGAGCAAACCCCTCTCTTTGGGACAAACAGATACACACAGCTATAGCCACAGGAGTAGGGACAGATTCACAAGAGAGCATGCAGGCCAGCACAGATGAAGACTCACGTAACAGACGGGAAATGGCAGAAGACACAAAGGAAAAGAAAGAGAGAACTCAGATCTGCATTTTCTCTTGGTTAAAGTACACCAGGCGAAAAGCTTTTTAATGTATTTTCTCAGTGCAATAGTGATGAATTATTGGTAACTCCAAATTTATCATTAATGCAGTGAAATGGACACATTTTGGTAGCTCATGTGAGGAATCTCTAATGTATTAAATCTACATAGACCATAGCAATTTTGAACCCATTTGGGAGACCTTTTATTCATGAAGAGATTATGGCTAATCTTTTATTGTTATGGGATTTGGAAGCAAGTATATTTGAAGCTACCATTCATAAAATTGCCTTTGTTATAGTTAGTTCTAATACTAATTAGTACCAATCATCTTCCATAAATTTATTTCATAAACTTATTATGATGGGCTTATTGCTCTTATGATATTTATTTTTCTGTGTAATTACTTATATTTTAAAAGGAAAGTCTATGGAAGAGAAGATTTTCATTGTCAATATCTGCTTTATATTTCTTTTTGATTGAGTCTTTGAAATCTTCATTTTGTCCTAAGGCTTTAAGCCAACATTTTTTTAATGCTTGCCTTATGAAATATCTCCCATTAAGTAAAGACTGCTTCATTTTAATAACTATTGGTTTTGGAAATGAGAATATATAGTGATACTTCATGAGACCCACTCACCAGTCTACATTTTCATTGCCTTACCTGCAGCTTGAGCCACAGGTACTTCTAGCAGAGGAAAGAATTGAGAAACCACTTCACCAAACTATAAGAAAAATGGTTAACATTTCCTGGAGAAGTTGTTCCATTGGCCTTAGTTATTAGTGGGCAAGAGTTGGGGGGAAGATAGTTAGCACCATTCTGCAAAGTCAGTTGCTACTATTTAGGGTATTTTGGTCATTGGATAGAATCATTACAGATTTTTCTCAAATTTTTCCATTCCATATAAATAACATTGTATTCAGTTTTGTGAATTCATATCTTCATTTAAGAGGTGTGCTCAGTATCAGAATCTGTGTGGAAAAAAGACATTATACATTATTTTTATTGAAAAACGTTTTCATACAATGTATTCTGAACACAACTTTCCATCTGCAAACTCCTCTCAGCTTCTTCCTACCGCCCCATTCACCCAACTCCATGCCCTTTCTTTTAGGTTTCAGGGGCTGTCCAAATATCCAGAAAGGAGATCAAACCTGGACTTTACGAGGATTTCTGGTGGTTAGATAAAAGTCAGCCTTCCTCAGGAACTTGTAAAACCAGTCCCCATCTGCCCCACGAGTCATTTCTCTTACCTCTGGCTGAAGGGACAAATGACTACCTGTGGTTGTGTACTGAAGTCCATGCCAGTCTCCAGGCTGCCTCAGTGTCACAAGCACCTGTTATATATTTCAAAGTCCACAACTAGTATGTTAGCCCTTCTCACGTCCTCATGCTTCCTTTCTCCCAGATACCTATTTGTGATCTTTATAAGGGTAAGGTTTCTCCTCCTGTCCCTGGTATTCCTAGTTCTTATTCTCTCTCTCTCTCTCTCTCTCTCTCTCTCTCTCTCTCTCTCTCTCTCTCTCTTCCTCTCCTCTCACTATGCTATCTCACTACCTCCACTATTCTTTCTTGCTCTTCTGCTTCCCTAGTCCCAGCCATGTCCTTGTCATCTGACCATGTTTGGCTGATTTCTGTTTCTCTCTGCTCTGAATTCCCTCTGATGTCTCTGTCTATTATCTCTCTCATATATATAATAAAAATAACCTTAACCATATCATGGAGTGATCATCACATCAGCAGTTTCTTTACTATGTAGGATCCCTCCCTTATAATTTCTTTCTCGCTTTAGAAAGCAAAGAAACAGGCAAATAAACAAAACAGAATAGGAAAAAGTAAAAACAAGCCCCCCCCCACACACACACGCATGCATACATGCACACAAACTAGCAATATGTGACAAATATCTAAACATATTGTTGAGTTCACTTTGTTGGCTATCTACTATTGGACAAGAGGCCTACTTGAAGTGTGTTTAATATGCCCAATGGGACTCTAGTAAAGAGAACTTCTTTTTTTCTTTACAAGTGGGTATCAATTGCAGATAGCTTCCTGATTAGACATTGGAGCCTATGTCCATTTCTTCCTCTCAACACTGGAATTCCATATGACTTGAAATTATATGGACCCTGTGTGTGCTTCCACAGTCTCTGTTATTTTATTTGTGCATCAGTCCATTGTCACCCATGTTGTGGGAGTAATCAACCACTTTCTGACTGGATTTAAGTTCTACTCCAAGAGATGGAACCATGCCTCACACTGCTCAGGCAGTCATGAACCATAGACTGAATAAGACATGGCCCTAGGGGAAAATTAAATATTATTGCTTTAGTAAAGAAACATAACAATAAAATGACTTCTAATGACATTCTGCTCTACCCATAGACTAGTGACTCACTAGTCATCATCAGAGAACTTTCTTCTTGTATCAGAGAGCAATTAGCACAGAGACTCGAAGCAGAACAATGCACAGAGAGTTAGAGACCTGAATGGCATGTTTTCATCAAATCTCTTCCTTCAGGGTTCAAAGAGCTATGTGGAAGAGGAGGCAGAAAATCATAAGAGTCAGAGGGATTGGATGACTCTATCCTCATTCTTTTTTAAGCCTTGAAAAATGTATTTTGTCTTCCAATTAAAGTATTTTAGGAGAAATTGTAGATGTAACCAATCATCTTATTAAAATAAGAAACACAGAGCCAAGGTAAAAGAGAAAGCCGAGAGGTCAGAGCTCAGAGATAAAATCTTACCTCCTGCAGTGCTCCTAGCTTCCCCGAGAG